GAGTCTACGGCTTGAGCCGAGTTGCGTTAGGTGATGAGGAGGGGCGGGGGGGGGTGGTTTCCACGCGTCCTTCGAGGTCCGCCAGCACCCGTTGGTAGACGGCGGTGGGCGCGGAGGAAGCCCCGGTTGGCCGGAGCCTGACGTAACGGCCCGGCGAGGCCTCTTTCCATCCCGGATCTTGAGGAGCTCAAATTTTTGAGGAGCTCAAGTGTTCAAGGATCTTGAGGAGCTCATTTTTGAGGATCTCGAGGTTCTCGGATCTTTGAGGAACTCAATGATCTCAATTTTTTGAGGATCCCAAATTTTTGAGGATCTCAAATTTTTGAAGACCAAGGAGCTCAAATTTTTGAGGATCTCAAGGATCTCATTTTTGAGGATCTCGAGGATCTCAAGTATTTGTGGATCTCAAGGTTCTCAAATCTTTGAGGAACTCGATCTCAAATGTTTGAGGAACTCAAGGACCTCATTTTTGAGGAACAAGGATCTCTGTTTTCTGAGGAACTCGGAAAATCTCAAGTCTTTGAGAAATTCAAGGATCTCAAGTTTTTGAGGATCTTGAGGGTCACAGGTTTTTGAGGAACTCAAGTTTTTGAGGGATTCGATCTCATTTTTGAGGATTTCAAGGCTCTCAAAGCTTTGAGGATCTCGAGGATCTCAGGTTTTTGAGAATCTCAAGGTTCTCAAATCTTTGAAGACCTCAAGGTTCTCAGGTTTTTGAGGCTTGGCACAGCTCTGATCTCAGAGAGCGCTGGCCTTGCGTTCATCGCCGTCCCGGCCGGGTGCCAGCATCGAGTGGTCTCTCTCTCGGAGGCAGGGGGTCCACGGATCCCCCACGGGGGTTTCCCAGCAGTTTTCGGAGCACAGCCTCCGATAACGCCGCTGCTTGGCTGCCAGGCGGAGGAGAAGGGATGATCTGGGGGAAAAACCGGTGCGACGACCTCCAGCCATCCCAGAAATCGGAGGAAGCAGCTGGGGTAACGTGGCCACGGGGCTCAACCTTCAAGGTGGGCTTGGGAGATCCCAGATCTCCACGATGGCCACGGGCTCAGTGGTGCCACCACCGATGTTCCCAATGGAGAACGTCTCCAGCTGGGATAACTCCGGCAGCGTCGTGCTTTTGAGACCGGGCACCCATAAAACCTCTGCGGTTTGGGGAGGTCTCGCTCCTTTTGCTTGGCCGCGTGATTCCTCGGGTCGCAGCCCCTTGGGTCTTCGCTCCCAAAGTCATCCCCGCGGGCGTAGGTAGGACAAAATCCACGGATTTGAAGGGATGGAGCCAGGTGAGGGCAGGCAGCGCTTGGAGCCGCTTCTCCTGCCTGCAGAGCTGCCGCAGGCAGCTTGGACGTGGTGCCCGAGACGGCAAGGTTGGACGTGGTGGCTGAGATGGAGCCCGCCGGCTCCCGAAAAGCTCCCGTTGCTCCTGGAGCCAACGCGTCCTGCCTCCGTGGCTCTGGGCAGGGAGAGGTGCAGGCAGGGAGAAGTGCAGGCAGGGAGAAGTGCAGGCAGGGCAGTGTCGGTGCTCGGATGTCCTGGGGAAGCGGTTTTACAGCCGGGAATGTTGATGGACCACCAGGAGAACAAGAAGAAGGGATCGAATTATGGGGGGACGCCACCAATGGGCATCCCCGAGGCAGGACGAGCCACCGCGCAGCCTTGGAGCATCTTCTGCTCCCCGGCATTCGCTCACGGCAGCGCCGAATTTTGGAAGAGGTGGCTGGGGTCCGTTGGGGACATCCCAGGGCCACCAGACTTCAGCCGGGAAGAGGGATTGGCCCATGGGGCGATGGCGTGCGCCGACCGGCTTTTTCGGGTGATGTTTGGTGTGCCGGTGGTGACGACGGTTAACTGATTGATGCCAAACTGTTCCCAGGTCACTTGAGGGAAGCCCCTTCCCCTCTCATGATGCATTCCCCACAGATGCCGCAGTTCCAGGGTTTGGTCCACCAGTCGCCACCTCAACAAACTATCCAGCCAAAAAAACAGGTAAAAAGGAAAGCAGAGCACCCAACCGCGGGGGTCCCGACCAACGGGGACCATCATCTTCCCACCACCGCCTTGGGAGCAAGCGCCGAAAGCCCAGGGGCCGTTGGCCAGCGGTTTGCCTCGGGAATTTGGGGATGTGGGGATGAGGGAAGGGCATCACCGGACGTTTCTTGATCCTTTCTTTCCCGTGGCAGGAGATGAGAGCCGCCTCCGTCGTCCAATCTCAACCCATGGTGGGGAAGGAGGAGAAGATGCATTCGCCCGTCATCCGTAACGAGACCTTCAGTCCCCCGTTGCGGCAAGATCCGCCGAAACACCCAGAGAGCATCAAACCGCCCGCGCACATCCCGCAACGTGAGTCCGGGGACGCGCCGGTTCCTCTGTCCCTCAGTTTTGGTGGCCGAGACCCCGTCACCCCCCATTTTGATGGTGGAGATCCCCATCACCCCCTATTTTGGTAGCTGAGACTCCATTGAGACCCCATCATCCCCCCAGTTTCAATGGTGGAGACCTCATCACCCCCCATTTTGGTGGTGGAGATCCCACTAACCCCATTTCGGTAGCTGAGACCCCATTGAAACCCCATCAACCCCCCAATTTCAGTGGTGGAGACCCCATCACCCCCCAGTTTTTAGTGGTGGAGACCCCCATCACCCCCCATTTTGGTGGTGGAGACCCCCATCACTCCTGGGTGGTTCCCCCTCACCGTGGGGCTCCTGGGGAACCCCCACAACCTCTGACGGGAGCCGTTGGTTTTTAGGGACGGAGATGAAACCCATGGAGGGGGGACGACCCGTCATCAGACCCCCGGAGCAAAACCCCCCGCCGCCGGGAGTGCAGGAGAAAGATCGGCAGAAACAGGAGCCGAAAACACCCGTCGCCCCCAAAAAGGTAACGTACCCTGGCAAAAATTGGGGGAAAACCTCCCCAAATTCAGAATTAAACCTCCCCAAATTAAGCAGGACCCTGTTGGTCGCCTGAACCTTGGTGTACGGCCAAGATTTGGTGTTTTCCACCTCCAACTTTCCCATTTGGAGGTGGAAAGCGTGTGGTGGAGGTTGGGAGAGGTGGAGATGGGACCCCCACCAAGCTGAGGGATGAGATGCCATCCAGAGGGACCTGGAGAAGCTCCAGAAGTGAGCCCGTGAGAACCTCCTGAGGTTCCTCAAGGCCGAGTGCGAGGTCCTGCACCTGAGGTGGTATCAACACCGGTTGGGGGGTGAAGGGGTGAAGAAGCGACCCCATGGAGAAGGACTCGAGGGTGTTGGGGGATGGAAAGCTGGACGTGAGCTCGGCGATGCTCCCCCTCTGCTCTCCTGAGACCCATCCTGGAGCCCTGCGTCCAGCTCTGGGGTCCTCAGGACAAGGACATGGACCTGTCGGAGCAGGTCCAGAGGAGGCCGTGAAGATGATCCAAGAGGTGGAGCATCTCTCCGTGAGGACAGGCTGAGAGCGTTGGGGTTGTCCAGCCTGGAGAAGGCTCCAGGGAGACCTTCTTGGGTCTTCTTCTAGAAGAGGCTTATAGGATGGAGAGAGACTTTTGACCAAGACCTGTAGGACAAGGGGCAATGGTTTTAAACTGGGAGAGAGTTGGTTTAGACTGGACCTAGGGAAGAAATATTTTACGTTGAGGGCGGTGAGACGCTGGCCCAGGTTGCCCAGAGAGGTGGGAGATGCCCCATTGCTGGAGATGTTCAAGGCCAGGTTGGACGGGGCTCTGAGCGACCTGATCTGGGTGAAGATGTCCCTGCTCATGGTAGCAGGGTTGGACTGGGTGACCTTGAAAGGTCCCTTCCGACCCAAACCATCCTGTGATCCGATGATTCCAAGTGTGTGTGGAAAATGGGAGGTGCCGGAGGAGCCGGTCCCGCTCCCGGCGTTCCCGGGAAGGCGTCAGAGCCGCCCGCTTGGTTCCGGGGGAGGAGATGGTGCCTGGTGTGGGTCCACCACCTCCTTCGGCCTCCTCCAGCCCCGGGGAAGCAAAAGGCGTTTCCACGGATGACGCGGTGGTGGGGAACGGCTTTTCGGTCGCGGCGGGATGGGCGTTCGCCGGATCGGCTCTCCCTCACCCACCCACCCCTCTCTCTGTAGGACCTGAAAATCAAGAACATGGGTTCCTGGGCGAGTTTGGTCCAGAAACATCCCACCACTCCCTCCTCCACGGCGAAGTCCTCCAGCGACAGCTTCGAGCAGTTCAAGAGGGCGGCGCGGGAGAAGGAGGAGCGGGAGAAGGCGCTGAAGGCTCAGGCGGAGCAGGTGGAAAGGGAGAAGGAGCGGCTGAGGCGGGAGCAGGAGAGGATGAGGTGAGACCACCATCACCTCCGCCATCATCACCACCGTCGCCCCCACCACCATCACCACCACCACCATTACCAGCCCCACCACCATCACCCTCACCACCGCCAGCACCACCATTACCAGCACCACCACCACCAGCACCCCCACCATCACCACCACCACCATTACTATCACCACCACCACCATCACCAACACCATTACCATCACCATCACCTCCACCACAATCACCACCATCACCACCACCATCACCACCAACACCCTTACCATCACCATCACCTCCACCACAATCACCTTCACCACCATCACCACCAACACCATTACCACCATTACTATCACCACCATCATCACCACCACCATTACCATCACCATCACCTCCACCACAATCACCTTCACCACCATCACCACCAACACCATTACCACCACCATCACCAACACCATTACCTTCACCACCATCACCACCAACACCATTACCACCACCATCACCACCACCATTACCATCACCATCACCTCCACCACAATCGCCACCAACACCATCAGCACCATTACCACCATCACCACCACCACAATCACCACCATCACCAACACCATCACCAACACCATTACCTTCACCACCATCACCACCAACACCATTACCACCACCATCACCACCACCATTACTATCACCACCATCACCACCACCACCATTACCATCACCACCACCACAATCACCACCATCACCAACACCATTACCATCACCACCACCACCACCATCACCATCACCAACACCATCACCACCACTATCACCACCATTACCATCACCACCACCACAATCACCACCATCACCAACACCATCACCACCAACACCATCACCACCACTATCACCACCATTACCATCACCACCATCATGGTGAAGGCGTCTTGGGGCACCCTCACCTTGGCCAAGGGCACGGGAGATGTACAGTCTCGTGGCACAATCCACACCAGCCCATGGCGTGATCCGATCTCGTGGCACGAATCCGATCTCGTGGCATGAATCTGATCTCATGGCATAAAACCGATCCGATCTCGTGGCACGATCTGCGCTGATCTGATCCGTGGCACAGTCCAATCTCGTGGCACGAATCCGATCCGGTCCGTGGCATGATCCAGTCTCCTGGCGCAAATCCAGTCTCGTGGCATAAAACTTGATCTGATCCGTGGCACGATCTGATCTCGTGGCATGAATCCGATCCGATCTCCTGGCACAAATCGGAGTGGATCTGTGGCACGAATCTGATCCCATCTTGTGGCACGATCTGCGCCAGGCTGATCCGTGGCACGATGCAATCTCGTGGCACATACCTGATCCCATCTTGTGGCACAAATCCCGTCTCGTGGCATGAATCCGATCCGATCTTGGGGCATGATCTGCACTGATCTGATCCATGACGCGATCCAATCCCCCCGGCACAAATCCCATCCGGCCTTGTGGCACAGATCGGATCTGATCTGTGGCACGATCCCATCTCTCGGCACAAATCCGATCCGATCTCCTGGCACAATCTCATCTCTCGGCACAAATCCACACTGGCAGCTCTGATCCCTCGCCACGCCGTGCCGCGGCGCACCAAAACCAGGTGCTCGGGGCCAGAGATGCCCATCCCCCGGCCGTTACAGCATTTACCCCGCGGCGGTGCCACCGCGGCGGGGAGCAAACGGGGCCCGGACCTTGCCGTGGCAGCGAGGGGTTACGCGAGGGTGCCCGGCACCTGACGGCATCTCCCGGCGTTTTTTGGCAGGAGCCGGGAGGACGAGGACGCCATGGAGCAGGCGCGCCGGGTGCACGAGGAGGTGCGGCGGCGCCAGGAGCAGCAGCAGCCGCAGCAGCAGGAGCAACAGACGCAGCCG